ATATATAATCTTTTTCTTTGAACAAGGGCGCATTTACGTCTTCTATCCAAACAGCAAATTATCGTGTCAGTTGGGTATAAATATGACTCAAAAATGGCCAATAAATTAATCCTTCAGTGCCCAAATAGTTCCCCTCATCTCGAGACTCGCCAAAGATTTATGAGGGTGGAGTGCTCAGTTTTAACGGTGACACTGGCAAACAATAGATCAACTGAAAAGCTGCATATTTCTCTCTGAATTTGCTTCACTTTCCCTTTAGACATACACTTTATAGCTCAGTAACATAATAAATAGAAAAAAAAAGAACCAGACAAACAAAAGAACAATTGCTCTTACAATGCATTCGTCAATAGGCACAAGGCAATTTCCATGAACGGTTGGAGGAGATTGCGAAGTCTCTGATTGTTCAGAAGCAACACACTTCTTGCAGACATTGATATGTGCTGAAGGTTTTTTTTTTTTTCTTTTTGGGAAGAAATTTGCAGATGAAAACTGGTAACTGGAAGCTGGACGCCTGTTTCATTCTTCAATCAAAGGATTGGTTTGTGTGAGCCTCGTAGTTTTCCTTCAAGTGGTCTGTCTCCTCCAACTGGTTTCACAAACTGAGAGTCCTGTCTGTCACTGGTAAGCAAGAACACTGACTCAAATGGGACAGAAATGTTCTGGATCATTTTGATCTGAAGAGAGAGGGAGACAAATGCTGATCAGAGGCGTACATTAATAATTACACAAGATACAAAACAACATGCGTGTTTTTATATTCAAGGTTACAGAAAGAGTTTGATTTAGGAGTACTAAAGCTTCTGTTTCATTAAAAAAGATCTGTATATCAGTGAGGTAAGGAGAACTAGCACAAATGAGGAAATTGACTGACTGATTAACAAATCCCTTGATTGCTAATGTCATTTCATGCACAGAATACGGCTTTGACCGCTGCAGGGAAAACAAGACATTTGAAGACAATACCCTTGAATTCATGAAATGGTAATTGTTCATATTTTAGCTATCTTGGATTTATTTGATGGGGAAAGCTGAATCAAAGTTGAGGGAGAGACGGAGAGAAATGTTGCAAAGAGGCCTTGATTTGACTGAACCCCTGTGGTGAGTACCTGGCATTAGTGGTTAACCCCCTAACAGGTGAGATACCAGGTCAAAATAAAATAAATAAAAGTAATAAAGATGACTTTATTTATATAGCGATTTTGAAAATCAAAGTTATGAAGTAGTTTTAAAAAAAACAAAAACAAAAAAATTGTACCCAAAATAAAAAAAATACAATAATAAAAGACAACTAAAGAACATTCCAGCAGTTCACAGAAAAACTTAAGTGATTTAAATAACTTTAAAGAAGAGATTCTGACTTTGCAGGGATCCTAACATGATTGATCAATTAACTGTTTGAGACAATAAGAAATCAGTAGAAAACACGAGTAGAAAACAAAGGTAATAGTACCTGTCTGCTACTCAGAGGTGGCCCATGGGGTTGGATGCATCAGTCAGGCCTGAATGGACCCCTGTGTGAGCTTGTTGAGCATCAATGGAGCCTCTGGACACCTTCTCCTCCTCCCTCCTCTTAAGGCAGGCTGCTTTGGGGTTCAAATTCCGCTCTGTTGGTTCAAAGATACGATAATCAGTCACTTTGTTTAAATATCAATGACATTTGGGCTATTTTTTAATATTTGGATTAAGCATTATAGTAACTAAATAAGGAGTTCAATTCCTTTTGATTACAGCATCATAATTAAATTATTTATATATCAATAAAATACCACAGTGAACAAGAATGTAAAAGCTAGTCGACTTCCACTGTTGACCTGCACAGCTTCCCAATAGTTTCTCTGCTGGCTGATATTTTCTCAGAGTCTCATTATTTGGCAGCTCTGTCAGTGAAAAAACTTCCTTTAAATATGAGTGCAGTCTTTTCTCTAGATGTGACACTAAAACTAAATGACCTTTTGCAGGAATTCAAGTGTGGAGCATTTGAGAGAATCTATTTTATTTTAATGTGACGTTTCAATGACACTGACCTCTGACTTGCTGCTCCAAGTTAAGTATGACAGCCACGGCCTGGTGGAGGATGAGCAGTTTGGTCTGGGGCTTCTCGCTCTTTAAGTGCAGCTGACACATGCGACCCAGCTCCTTGAAGGCCTCGTTAATGTCCCGCACCCTCAGGCGTTCACGAGCGTTGTTGGCCATCCTCCTCTCGCGCTCACGCTCAGCCTTCTGCTCCGGATTCAGGTCCTCATCTTCAGTGATGCTGTGGGAGAAGAAACACACCTAAAGTCAGAGCTGTTGTATTGTAAGGGGCAAACGACACACACAAAGTGTTGGGCTCATTTTCTGCCTTTCATATTGAGATAAAAGAAGTGGGATGACTGTGAAACAAACACATGCAACTAATCCAATTGTTCACATGTGATTTATAATAAAATGAACTCATTATATTCAAGAATACAGTAACAAGCTAAATTGTTAAGTATAACAGTCCTGCACCTGTCTTACACCTACAGTATACCACTTCAAATAACCTTTACTGCAACAAATGTTTGAATTGAATTGACAACCATGTTAATGTTGACAACACGGTCATCCACTGGAGACAACAACTCTCTGCTTTGTGAAAATGGTTTAATCAAAATAACAAAATCAATCTTCAAAATTTAGGCCAGTTCAAACAATTTCTATTGGTATGATTTATTTCCTTTACTAACACAAGTTCAAACAGATTGTGTGTGTCTGTGTGTTCTGACCTTGTACGTGTGCCAGGTCTGGGTGTCCTCATATCTCTTTTGTCGCTCTCATCATCAGACCTGTCATCAGCAGAGAGGTTATCCTCCATCTCATCCTTGTCCTGTTTCTCCACCTTCAGCTCCAGGGCGGCAGGCAGATGGCCAGCCAGGGCTGAAGTAAGACCTGCAGGAGATGGTGAAGGAGGTAAGATACTGAACAACAACTGAGCTCGCTCTTTTTCATAATGTGACAGCAATATAATGTGATGATAAGAGTGCAAAAGACCTCTGAATGCTTCCAACTGTTGGTTGAGTTCTGCGGTGGATGTAGAGCAGGTGCTGGGCAGACCTCCATGGCTATTGTTGAGACCGACGGCATCATCAGCGTGGGCACCACCCTGCTGCAACACAGACAGAAAGGACGGAAAGGTTAAGAGAGGAAGCTGACTTTGTTTGGAGACGACTTGTGCAAAACAAGGGAAAGAGTTGAGTTATAGACTTCAGGTACCGTAACAGGAAGTTTAACATACTGTACTACAATTTTAAAAAAGGCCTTGATATGTTCAGAAATACATCAAAACTACCAGCTACTAGATTATTGATAAAATATAGACAACATGCTGTTTGAAAGTCAATCTACTTATTGTAACATTAAAATATTCTAATGAGACCAGTATCTTTTTTCCAACACTGGGGATGCTTCTGTGATTGTTTTTTACAATTATATGAATGCTTAACAGAGAGAGAAAATCACAAAATAAAAGAAAATTAAAACCCTCTTTGATATAAAGCTCCCCCCCCAAAAAGAAATAAAAATAAAATACTGTTTGCAATTTATTTTTAAAGAAAAATAAGAAAAACTTCTTTCCCCCTGTTTATGTTACACAATGATTCCCTGCTTACTGCTTTGCATTCTCAGGCGTCTTGGCTTTCTGTAACCACAACTAAGACCACGTCTGTTTCTCATGTCTAAAAGGAGACAAATCCTTCTGTGTTCAGTTTCAAAAGATGTCAAGCTGAAGCCACTTCACAGTCTGACTCTGGCTGTTTCCTTGTTTTTCTGTCCACAGTCACAACATAAAAAAAAAAACCCATAAAAACTGGTCAACTCCCACCGTGTTGCAACACAGAGTCCTTCCTTCATGAGGTTCACCACATGTTCTTGAGCGTTTAGATTTCCCCTCTGAGAATGGGGGGGAATCGTCACAGAGAACGGAGGGTATTCCCCCTTTTTCTTAAGGAATGTGATTGCAGTCACTGTTGGCCTCTGTTAACCCCACCACCATGAGACCCTCCCCTTCCTCAGCGCTACGCTAATCTTTGCTGTGCTCTCAACAGGTGCCCAAACAACTCTTTGTCTGGAGGAGGAGGGGGGAGGCCGGGTGCTCTGGCGAGCAAAGAAGGCTGCCATTTTCATGGCTGGGCCTGATTACCATACAGCTGAGGAGCTCTTATTTGGGGGCCACGGGTTCAGACACACGTTTCCAACGATACAGATTTCCTGGGTTGTTAAAAAGAAGTGATGAAAAGGGGTGTAAGTGGGGGTGTGGGGCTGGGTGTCAGCCGGAGTAAAAAGCCTTTACTTAGTCTGGTGGGCTCTGTCTGAGGGGACCTCTTCCCACACAGGAAGTGCTGTGTTAGCGCAGACACAGTATGTTCTATCTCACAGTCGCAGGCGGTCAACATCACTGCTACAAGCCAGCTTTCTGTAACAAATACATCAAACTGAGCTCCTCTGACAACCACAGAGACGCTCTTGTTAGGGGACAAAACACGCGAGGAGCCTACAGCCTCCGTAGAAGAGTGAAAACACTGCAGACACACACAGAGCCTCACAACAAACGAGAAAACTTTAACTAAAACATAAATGCTGGCAAAGAAGACGTGAGACCAGGAATCAGAACGGGAGGAAATTATTTAAAGCTTTTAAGGTGATGTTGTGAAAAATGAAATAATTTTGGCAAAAAAAAAAAATAATAATAATAATTTTTTCTTTTAATTCTTTGCCAAATTTAAACTGGCTTCAGAAAAAGACCCTCATATTTAATGTGGGTGATTGTGTGAGTGGGAACATGTTGACTGCATGCCAGCTTCATGTCAGGTGCATTCCTGAGGTTTAGTTAATTAAGCACTACAAGTTTTAAAACTTGAAATCGATCGATTGATTGATTGATTAATCGATTGATTGATTGTTTGATTGATTGATTGATTGTTCGATTGATTGATTGATTGATTGATTGATTGATTGTTTGATTGATTGATTGATTACAAGATGGAAATAAATATAATCAGCAGACATTTCTGTTGTGATCAATTGTTGAGTAACTTTACAAGCAAAAATGTGAAATCTTCCATTATTCCCGCAAGGACCTGCTGCTTTTCTTTATCAACTTGACAATGTATGGAATATATATCTTTATTTTAGTCAACTCAGTGAAATGTGTTGATTTAAAATAAAAATGTGTTAATTTAAAGTCCGACAGAGCTCAGTTTTAATCTGAAGACAATGTCTATTTAAATTTGTATCATGGGAGGATACCACTTCCGTCAGAAGACTTTGAATGAATTAAATAAAAAATATCAATCATAAAATATTTTGTTTAATGTGCTTTTTTTTATGAATCATGACTCCCACAAGAATTTCCAAACACCCCCAGATTACAGTTGGATGAGTCGCCCCATTTAATTTCCAGTGCAGATGTGTCCAAATCTCTGGGCTCTTTAGAAAGAAACAGCTCAGATGGAGGATGAGTGAAGGCATGATTTATACTGAGACCCCTGAATTCCTTAAAGTCTTGCAACACACAAACACATCTTACACAACTTCAATGCATTATGCCTGTTTTTCTCATTTCCCATTCACCCCGGTTTATACAGCCACTCTCAGGAAGAGGGCGAGTTGTAGGCCAGCCATTACACTTATGGAAAATATGTCAGGATAAAGCCGACTGCTCATCTGTGGAAAATGTCTCATTTTTAACACTTGACAACAGACCTGTTAGAAAGAGGCAGCAGAGGATTCTTTTTGAGAAGTTATATGATTAACATATAAGCATGCGCCAAAAAGTTTATTTTTCTATACATTTTTTCCAAATACTTATAAGAAGTTGCCGTACCATTGCTGCTGTCCGATTTGCAACCAATGCAGAGGCAGGGAAGTTTGCTCCAATTGCTGCGATTGGCCCATTTTGCGCCTGTCCCAGCAGACTCTGCAAGTCACTGGGCAGACTGGCGGTGGAGCCCACGGCATGGTTCCTTAGAACGAGGATTGCATCATCCAGTCTGTCCAGACGATCCTCCATTCGAGACTGGAAGGACCGGAGGGAAAGAGGAGTGGAGGGAGAGGGAGAATAGAGAAAGAGAAGGGCAGAGCAGCTAAGTATAAGCACACTTGGACCAAAAATGTAAACACTGATTGTATGGAGTGGACTTGAAAAAAAATCTCAAATAGAATATAAAGAAGGCCATTCAAATGCAAGATCAAGCCATTTCAGCTTGAGCTGTTAAAATTAACACTTTCGTATCTCTTAAATTGAATAACTGACAGAAGCACCATTCAGACCTATTACTGCAAGCTGGAATGGCTTATAGGACAGCAACACGTGGCATTCAGCAACAAAGGCAATAAGAATGAAAGTGCATGTAAACTGAGTGTACTTTTGAATAGTTAGCTTCAGAGTTATTAGTCCAGAGTTCTTGGTGGCAAACGGGAGGGGGTTTCAAAGTCCAGTGTTCGTGGGGGCAGAGGGGAGGGAACGAAGAGAGGGGAGAGAGTTAAGCTTCCTGACTGCTTGGTGGAAGAAACTGTTTCCCAGTCTGGTGGAGCCGGCCCGCAGGTTGCGGTACCGTCTCCCCGATGGCAGGAGGCTGAAGAGGCTGTGTGAGGGGTGGGTGGGGTCACGCACAATGCTGGTTGCTTTGCGGGTGAGGCGGGTTCTGTAGAGGTCCAGAAGAGAGGGGAGTGGGACACGGATAATCCATTCAGAAGCCTTCACTGTGCTGCAGGGTCTTGCGGTTGGCAGCAGTGCAGCTCCCAAGCCACACAGTGATGCAGCTGGTCAGGATGCTCTCGATGGTGCCTCTGTAGAAGGAGCACATGATGGATGGGGGGCTCGTGCTCTCTTCAGCTTGCGGAGGAAGTAGAGGTGCTGCTGGGACTTATTGGCCAGTGATGTGGTGTTGGTTGTCCAGGAGAGATCCTCACTGATGTGAACCCCCAGGAACTTGGTGCTGCTCACTCTCTCCACAGCAGCACCGTCGATGGTCAGTCGGGGTTTAGGAGTGGGGACTCTCCGGAAGTCGACAACAACCTCCTTGGTCTCGACGTTCTCGACGTTCAGGAAGAAGTTGTTGTCGCTACACCACGTGCAGAGACAACGTTTAACTACGATTTAATTTCTGTAAGATACAGAATATAAAATAAACCAATAAAGACGCATTTAAATAGTGAAATCATTATTTAAATAGAGGGGGAAAGGTTTTATAATAATGCAGACATTTGTTTTATTTTCTGTTGTTAATTTAAAGTAGTGATTTCAGACGGGACTTTAACTCTAGATTAAAAATTGATTTACTTAATCCATGCTCGTTTGTTTTGATTTGGAGGTGGACGTGACGTGACGATTTACGTTTAATTTCGCACAGCATTGTGGGTGGTAAAATACAATTAATTTCCTGAAAGCACGCATCTGATCCATACTGCATAAAACCAGGAAGTTAGTATCCATACTGAAATGTTCAGTATACTGAGGTTGACACAAAATATGCATACTGAATGACCACAAAAGTTCAGTATACTGAAACTCCCTACTGAATAGTACGTACTGCATACTGAACTGTGGCTATTCAGAAAGGGCCTCCCTCATCGTACTGCTCTCACGGGCCGTATCCGAATTGCAAGTACCTACTCAATCTTTCAGTCGGCAGTAAGCAGTACGTACTATCCGTGCTGCATACTGTTAGTACCTACTATTCAGTATGCACACACAGTAGGCAGATATTTGTGCCTACTTTGTCTGATTCATTCAGTATGGAAGTGACGTCATTAGCCCGCCCCATGTTATTGACACTCCAACTCAGATGAGGGCACTAATGATCCCTCTGGCCAAGTCATGAATGGCCCCATGGCTGACAGAATAAAAGCCAGCTGTCAACATCTGAATTCTGAGTTGCATTCACCATGTGGACACCGCAGCGTGTTGCTATGGAGTTAGTGCTAGAGAGAAGAAGGCGGGCCAGGAGAAGAGCTCGGAGAAGACGCTTTTTTCTCCTCCTGGCCTTGATGGAAGAGGTGAGTTCATGTTATTTTACAGGTAGTAGTGAAAAGTCAGGTTGATTATTGAATTGGCGCTTTGGTCACTGTGTGAAGGTGCAATACAATGAGGTTACATAAGAATGAATATAAATAAAGTATCATGAAGCTAACCACATGTAAAACGTTGGAGCAGGGTAACGCTAGCTATATAGTCAGCTGATTAAGGTTCGTTATCTTATTATTTAACATAATGCAGTTAGTTATATAGTGTTTATCTTGTACTTGACCATACATGTAGCTACCGAAAACATTTCCATGTAATACACAACAAATGCACATCAAAACTGTGTGGCATCGGGAAAAACTGTTTCTAGTTATTAATAGTTTGCAATTGACAAAGAATGTAAAATAACGTCATGTGCAATTATTGTCTGAGTGAGTCCAGCCCATAGACTGTAAAAATAATGGACGGGACAAGGTCCCCGGTCTAGTGAAGCTTTTATTTTTAGAGCTCCCCCTACTGACTGGCTGCAGTATAGGTTATAAACCCCGCCTCCTCAATGATAACAGATGGGATGTGGGTCAAACTGTAAAGCTAAAATACTCATCACATAATTTTTTTCCAAACATAAACTCTGCTGTGATCATTAGTTATTATCACCCTACATTGTGTTCAAGTGCTCATTTTTCTGTGAAGTTTGTATTAAATAAGTTATTTGAGGTTGAAAAATGGGATTTTACGTCATATTTGACGATGATTGACAGCCGCCGATCTTCCGTAGCTCTCTTTGTGAATAACAAAAGTTACGTAGTGAAGGAAAGCCGAGACGCCATTGAATTTTTCCGTTCAGTTTTTTCGTCTTTTTTGAGCTGGCAAAATGAGTTGTTCTGCAGTAAACTGTTCTAACCGACCTGTGGGAGCTAAGGGATCTTTGCAGTTCTTTCAGTAAGTAAAAAAGTGTGATTTATGTGTCATTGTTTGGTTAAAGTCATTATCTAGCTAGCTAACACATAAGCAGTCTAAGGTTAGCTAAAATGTTGTAACGCTAGGTTACTTATCCGGCATGTTTTATCTTTTTATTTTATTTTATTAAATGAGCAAACCTAATAACTGACATGCTATGTTTCTTGATATTGTTATATCGTTATTGTGATTGAAATTGTATTTAAAACCAAGAATCGTAATATAAAATCTGCTCATAGATGCGGTTCATTGACTGTACAGTTATTTTACAGTAAAAATAAATAAGTCTGGTAAGGTCTGAAAAGTATCTAGGGCAAAAACAAAGTCACATAATTGTAATCTGGCCTGCATCATTACTAATTTGTACATGTTTACAGTCTGAGTGATAAGTGGACTATACCGAGAGGAACAGGTTTTACTTTCACCGTGCAGGCTGAAATTCATAGGACTATATACGAGGGTAGAATATTTCTCTATGTATCCAGATAAAACTAAAGGTAAGATCTGATTTAATATAACTGTTACTGATTTAAGATCCAGATAAAACTAAAGGTAAGATGTGATTTAATATAACTGTTACTGATTTAAGATCCAGATAAAACTAAAGGTAAGATGTGATTTATTATAACTGTTACTGATTTAAGAGACTAACCGAAACGTGAACGCAAACATCAACAACCGGCGGTGGTGTAATGTAATATTAACCGAGCATCATGCTGCTTAAACTGATAAATATTCTGCATTGGCTTCCACACACGACCAATTCAACAGTCACAAGTTGATCATATTGTAAATTTAATGACACTCATTGAGAAATTGTTCTTAAAAATTGACAAAACCTGACAAACATTGCGGTGATTGTGACTGTGTCTGTATTTAACACCTTTGAAAGGAAGGTGTTAATGCAGGAGACCAGTGTTACACACAACATGCTGCTATCATGTTAGTTAGGAGGAGACAGAGGCACAATAAAAGAAGACATAAAGATCACGTTTTCCCCACGCATGTTAATATGTTTTAAATGTCATGCATTTATTTTTTATTTCGCTTCAATAATCATTAACGAAGAGAAACACCAGGATTAAACTATAGGTTATTGTTGCCTTTTTATAGCCAAAGAAAACTGAACATTCACAGCCTCTGTATTCAAAAGAATTTCAACATTGATATTTATGTTCTCCTATTTCCCTCTTTTCACCAACATTATATTTTAAACAGGGATTTCCTTTTCATCAGGTCGTGCATCTCTCCCCCAGTTCGCCCCCTCCGGTGCGCTCCTCTCCATAATGCTCTTGTCTCCTCCCTCTAAAGCTGCTGCTACTCTGTAGGACGCTCTGATTGGGGCACCTCACCAATAAAATACTATTTTATATTTTATAAGCATTTTGCCACCACACTGTACTTTTACTCAGTGTGTATTCATAATTATTTGTGAAGGTATCTGTTGAAAAGGTTTTCCTAAAGTCTAAAGCTTGAAGGGTACCCTTAGTCAATATTCAATTGAACTGACGACTTATTACTGAGGTAATATTGAAAAGAATTATATTGTATGTGTGTTTGTTTTATATGGTTAAAATCATTGTGATTTAAATAAATTTGACATTTGAATTTAAAGAGAAGTCTTTGTGTCATACTTAATTTCATTAAGGTGTGTTTTGAGTTTAAAAAGAGGAATATTAAGTTAGACATCTAATTCTTAGTGGGATTTGCAATAAAAAGTTCATATTTCCTTATTAAGTGGAGGCACCGCCATTTATTAAAATCATAAGTTAAAAAAGGTTAAGCAATAAGTTACTTAATTTCTGTTACACAGGTAAGCACGGTCAGCCATAAAGTACCCAGGGCCCTGCCCATAGTACTATAACACCCCTTTAATATTTACTAAATCAAATAGCTACATGGGATGGGCGCTACAATAGGAATCACCGATAAGATTCCTAAGTGTCGCATCGACTCCCATCTTGTCCAAAACTTCAGCCAGGTGACCGTGACACACCGTATCAAAGGCTTTAGACTCTAGAGAGTCGATGAAAACGCATGCTAAGGTCGCACCATCCTTTCTGCACAAGCGCCCTCAAGACCTCTGCAGGTGAGAAGGGACACTGAAGAGTAGTATAACCTTGAACAGCAATATTAACAAATATATAAGTTAATAATCTCAAAAACATTTTAATTAAAAATTTGATTGTTGTTTTCTTCTGTATTGTGGTATATTTAATTATTTCCATGTGCCAACATGCAGGTCTCAATGACATATTTTGTGTTTTAAATCTGTAACCTGCAGTTTTAAAAACTCATCTTAAGTGAAATAGATCTTTTTAATAATATGATGCAAGGATAGCATAATGATTAATGCCTGACCTGTTTTGTTACTGTTAAAATACAGTTCTCTGTACCAGTAGTTTATTTTTATTTATTTTGTAAAATAATACAGTGGCCTATATATACACATGTTTTGAGTTATAGTGATGTTGGCAAAATTAGTCCGGCCCTCTCGAAGTCTCATTTGAACCAATCAGGCCACCGACCCAATATGACTTTGACACCCCTGGTTGGAAATTACTAAACTGTTTTGTGCCTTAAGGGTTAATGCAGTGATGCAAGGTATGCCAACATATATAGTATATATAAAGTATACTCAATATATATATAAATAAATATATTTAGCATATTTTAATGCAGGTAGATCATTTTAAAAGTAGCTCACAAGCCAAAAAGTGTGGGCACCCCCAGCTTACAAGATGTTTGAAATCACATGCCCACTTGTGCAGCAGCTTCTTCACATGCTGATCCTTACACCAGCAGGTTAAGAGTCCTAATTAGTTATTGGATGCACCTGTGGAGGTAACCACACAAAGGAACTCAACATGTCTCACGTTCTACTAAAAAAAGTCAGAGATGGATTGAAATGTCTGCACAAATCATTAATGTCTGTTAGGCCCACCTATGAGTCAATAAAAATATTCTTCATGTCCTGTTTAAAGAACATTTCTCTGATACGGTGTTTTACACCTGAGGAGCTCAGTTTTACACCTGAGGAGCTCTCCAAAGGGCAAAGACACTTTGTGAATAACTTACTTACAAAGATCTAGTCCTAACTTTGAGGGGAAATTCTTAGAAAATATCCTGATTCTACAAATTTTCTTAGAATTTTGTCACTAGGAGCAACTCTTAGTACTTAGGAGGCTTTGTGAATACAGCCCCTGAACACTCACTATTAAACATCTTTTTAGCTATTTAAACTTGTTATAGGATAGAATATGATTCATATCACAAAGTGTCAGGCTAAGTAGAGCTACAATCAGACGTGTTGTCTTCAACATGAGTTCATTTTTATCTTGTATTTTATTGTGTCAACTTGAAACGATACAACCATGTGTGTAGTCGAACAGGAATGAGCACGGTGAATAAAATCCCACACAATTCATGAACCAATAAATAACATGTCTCAATTGCACTTCATTTTATTGACCACTAGATGTCCTACTCGAGCACTGTGTCATTGACAGCCTTGAGTAATGACTCATTTTTTGAATCAAGTGTGGAGGCTTTATCAGCCATCATTTGTCATGTGGCTTCATCCTCCCATCTCTATTATGGAACATATGTGATATTCATGAGATAAAAAATAATATGTTTCTAACGTACAAAGAGAAATGGTCTGTGGATATGTGGTGCAAACCAAAACTAAGCACATACTGTCTCATAAAGGATTGCTGCAGCATAGAAGCCTATGCTAAATTTAATTTAACTAAAAGACAAAGATCCCTCTGCGCTCAACTATGTTCAGGAACATTGCCTTTAGCTTTAGAGTTTTTGTTTTTTGTGTGAGTTGGGAAAAACTGAAAACGAGATTCACTTTTTGTTTTATTGCCCGATGTATGCTGACATCAGGGATGTTATTTTTAAAAGAATGTCTTCAAATTATGACGATTATGAAAAGTTTTAAAAAAGGAACCTTTGTTACAGCAGATTTTGTTTGTAAAGCCTGGGATAAAAGACAGAACACATTGTTTAAGACTGAACTTTGACAGGAGCTGGCAACTTCGTAATGTTATGATTCTTTGTGAACCACTGCAACTGAATTCTTTGGTGTCTTATAAGTCCATGTGGGTTGAGCACTTTGTGTGCATGACACGAAAATAAATTAACAATCAATCTATTAAATTAACCATGAGAAGTCTGCAAGTAGGCCTACACACACAGACCAACCAGTGTGCTGTCCTCTTCTACCTTTCCTACCCCGTCACCTGCTGCCTGTGGCCAATCAGAGAGGCTCTCTGAAGTGTCACTCTGAGCCAGGTGAAACCAATCTCCCTCACCGTACTGCTCTCATGGGCTGAATCAAGATATCATACCTAAACCCTAAACCAGGGGTCTCAAACTCAGACTGGCATGAGGCCACTGGGAGTACTGTCGACTTAAAGGAGGGCCACTACAAAGTTCAAGCACCACAAAAAGGACTTTATTTTTGCAAATGTACTTTTTGTTTCCGCAAAATTGTGTCTCCTAAAACCTGCGCTGAACCAAAAAATGCAGTTACTCAAAATACCAATCCTAATCCTGCATTTTATTTCTTGCCAGACACCTGGCAGCGCTTCTGCTCACACAGATGAGCCACATTTACCTTGATGGAGGTCACAGTTGAAACCCTGAGTACAGCTTCAAGGTGTGCATCACTAAGCCTGGACCTGTACTTGCATTTATTGAAGTTCATTGTCGAGAAAAGTTTCTCACACAGGTATGTGCTTCCAAAAAGGCACATTACACGACTGAACAATTTGGATAGCTCTGGGAAGGATGCAGGTAATTCTCTTAGAAACTGTCCAGTCAGGTCTGCCTTCCCCTGTACCTCTCTGAATTTATTTTTCAGTTCACTGTTAAACTGCAGGTCAACAAGTTCCATCTGCAACACACTTGGGACACTCTCAACATCAGCTGAAAAAGGGTCTGCAAATACCTGGAAAGTGACCCGGTGTTCCTTGAAGTCAACAAAACGCTGATCAAACTCCTGCAGAAGATTGTCAATAGCAGAGGCATATTCATCACCACTGAATGCTGTGCCCTGTTCCACAAGAGATCTGCATGCTGGGAAATGACTGAGGTTTTTGGCAGAGAGCTGAGTTTTCCACAATCTCAGGTTTGTGCAGAAGGCTTTCACACTTTCATATGCTGCTGTTATGAGCTGATCAGGACCCTGGAGCTTCAGGTTGAGGATGTTCAGCTGCTGTGTTATGTCCACTAGGAATGCAAGGTCATGCATAACCCATTTAGGATCATGCAAATCAGGAACATCCGTTCTGCCATTCTCCATAAATCTCCTAACCTCTGCTCTTAACTCAAAAAATCTCTTCAAGACGTTTCCCCTGCTGAGCCAGCACACATCAGTAAAGTAAAGGACGTCACTATATACTGACTCAATCTCCTCTAGAAAGGCCCGGAACTGGCGGTGCTGTAAACCCCTGGACCTGATGTAGTTTATACATTTCAGGACAACAGACATGACATGTTCATATTTCAGGCATTTGCTGCACAGTGCCTGTTGGTGTACAATGCAGTGCAGAACAACTGCTGGATCTACACTTTCCTCCTCTAATTTTCTCTGTACCAGCGCTACTAGACCGTTTTTTTTGCCTGTCATGGACGGGGCTCCGTCAGTGGTGATGCCAACCAGTCTATTCCATGGCAAACCCGCGCGCTTAATCGCGTCAGAGAGCTGCTGAAAACTGTCCTTGGCTGTAGAGCGGCCGTGCATTACGCACAAACTCATCAACTCTTCAGTCACTTCGAATTGGTCATTATTACCCCTGTTGAAAATGGACAGCTGGGCAGTGTCCGTTTTATCCGTGCTTTCATCAAGCGCCACAGAGTATGCAGTGAAACGTTTTGCTCTGTCACATAACTGCTCATAAATGTCACTTGATAAACTGCTAATCCGCTCTGCCACAGTGTTTGCCAAAAGATAAATATTGTTAAACAAACTCTTCTTTTCTGGACACAGAATGTCAGCAACTTGCAACATGCACTCCTTCAGAAACTGTCCTTCCGTGAATGGTTTCCCCGTTCTGGCAATTAATTCACTCAACACGTAACTTGCTTCAACAGCAGCATCAGCCTCCTCCTTGGATTTATGGAAAAGACTTTGCTGAGAAAGAAGTCCTCTCTGTAGCTGCGTGGCACGCTGTTTCCTCTCCTCTCCCTGGTACTTTTCATACTGCTCTCCGTGTTTAGTGCAGTAATGACGCTTGAGATTGTTCTCCTTTAAAACGACAATTCTTTCCTGACATATCAGGCAGGTTGCATGTCCACTAAACTCCACAAAAAAATACTGTAATGTCCATCGTTTTTGAAACTGTCTGTGTTCATTGTCAACTTTCCTTTTTGACGACATCTTGGTCATAAGCAGCCAAACAACAACACAAAACTTTTGCGCCAACTGCTCTCACTCCGTGAACCTCTCTGGGCATGTGCAGGTACCTTTGGCCTTTGACTTACAACCCTGTCAAAATTGAATTTTATTAATAATATAATTATTGAATTACGTTTTTTTTAATTTGAATTTCATAAGAAATTGTATTTTTAATTAGTATGAAGAAACGAAAAAATAAAATAAATACATTTAATTAAAAAAATATTTTGCGGGCCTGACTACATTATGTTTTTAACATGCGGGGCGGGCCGGGGATTGGGGGGAGGGGGGCCGTAAATGGCCCTCGGGCCGGCAGTTTGAGACCTCTGCCCTAAACCCTGAATCCTTACTGACTTTATCGACGTCACCTGGAAAGTGATTGAGTGCATGAGGCTGCGAGGGCTCTAATGGTTAAATACAAATGGGACAGCACTTTGCAACTTCTCTGTAACCATGACTACATGATGTCATGTAGCAAAAGCTTATTTTACATTTTTCACTTTACTCACTCACAGCCATGGCACTTATAAAAAGTTCTACTATAGGCCTATATGAATGTCTTCGTTGTGGGATAAATAAAGGTTTATCTTATATAAATATAACAGACTAATATGCTCTCTATCTTTCTTGTTTTTGTTTTGCCTAAAGACTCGCAGTAGAGTAGTAGTAAATATATTTATTTCGGTCCATGACCACAAAGCATAAAACATACAAATTTAAAAAACAATGGCCAAAAAGGTGTAGGATGAAGCCAAGGCTTATTATGCCTACACTCAAAATAATAATTCATTGGATTAACATGATTTTATCATGCCACCTATATTCCATCTAAACAAATCATGTTAAGTGAGCCAAACTTTATCATGTTATTTGAACACAATATACATGTGTGGGTTGAACATCATATTAATATTTGCACACAACTAATTTGCATCTTGTTGATTTTAAATGGTTGTTCTTAGTTATTTTGGTTAAATCAAATTGAATGTACTCTACATTGGTCAAACACCTAAGTCGAACAAAATTCAACCTTGTTGTATCAATACATACGGGGTTTGTCAGTTATACTAATGTCAGTGTTATTGAATTAACTAATGTCAATCTCGATGGTTTAATTAGTGTTGCGTTCATTCCTAGGACAAGAATGTATTGTATGTGACCAAATGTGCATAAAAATGACAACATTCAAATTCATTTGACATTTTATTTAACATTTGGCGTTAATAAACCTTTTGCCAGCATTACCCACAATGCAATTGTAGCAATTTGCTACTGAATAACATTTTTAGCAGATAACATACAGCTTCTTCTGGAGCCCCAAAAGTATATGTTTTCTTCACATAAGCAGAAATACCTTAGACATGTTAAAACATTTTAACGTAAAATTGGTGGGGTTTCCTCATGTAAACTTAAAGTTTAGTATAAAATTTTTCCCCCAAATGCATCTAAAACATTTTCTCATCAAAACATTTAACACTACTAAACAGCATTATAAAATCTTTCAGTAAGTGCATGACTGTCATTTCAAGTTCTTACAGTCTTACTGCAGAAAGAAACCAGGAACAAACAGCTACACTAGACTGCTTACAAACACATTTCAACCTGAGACAACATTCTTGATCTCTGTCTGTTGAGCATACTGAATACAAGTCCTTGTGAACATTTTCATGAATTCTAATTTTAAACTAAAGCAAAAAAAAAAAAATATCTGCATTGTTGATGTCTACTTATAGTAGAGGAACTTGGGCCCCTAAAAGTTGAGAGACCCCTACCCGAGGTAGAACAAAGCACGACCATATTTTTTCATAACTTGAACATGTCTAGTTTATGAAACGGATTGTTGTATAAAAATATTTTACTGCAAAATAACTTTTTTTGGATGTTTTATGCATCTTACAAAAAAACGAAAATAGGTCAAATTAGGGCTTCTCCAAAAGGGACAGCTCTAGCCTTATCACATGTATCTCTGGGAATCAGAATCAGAATTTCACCACATTTGGACAGGATGTTCACAGATAGTTATTAGTTACAATTATGCAAAGTTTTTATCAATACCATTTTCAGTTTTTGAATTTTTCACACTTAAACACACATGTAGTTTAGGCGGAAATTGAAAATTGAAACAAAAATTCAAAAGGTATGTATATCAAAGTCTGTCATTTTTTAAGTAAGGACACCAAACATTAAAATATCTCATTTGTATCTTCTTTAGACTGTTATCTCAACATAAAAGCAAGTTATGTGACTTTTCACTTGACCCGATGCTGTCACCAGCCCCTAACAGGAAACTAGTGCAGCCAGGATTTCAGGGCGACCTGGTACAATGGGGCCTTATGGATGTTTATGTGGGAGGAGGTGGCCACAAACAATTGATTAAGACATAACAACAAGACACAATATAATTGTATTCTGTAATATATATATATATATATAATTAAACATTTTATAGTTATTCCTAATACATTTTGTATCTTACATATAATTTATATGATGACACTCAGAGTCAACCCGCTGCTTTCAACAATATTGTCACCTATGACATTGTTTCTATTTCATTCTAAAAAATTAAAGCATTGTCTTGCCATCAGTTGTGAAATATTAATGAACTAAAAAACAGTATTGATATATATAACCTTGAGTTCTTAGAAATTAAATATACTTCATATAGTCTATTTGTATATCGGCCATACAGCCTGTTGTAGTTTTTTAACGTATTTCAGTCATATAAAGATGGTGTGTAGTCACCATATCTCCTGCTTTTAAGATGAACCCTAGTTACTCCAGAGGATACACTGGATGAAGGGATAGTTTTTATAATATAATATAAGTATGATAAAGTGTTATAAAAAAAACTACAATAGCTATTTTTGTTGAATGATTTCATGGCAACCAATGGAGCTGGGATACAAAACAATGATGGTGTAAATGTGTGTGAGGTAAATTAGGATAACAATCATGCAAACATGTTGTACATTTTGTTTTATGTTTGCTTGAATTTATGACTTATGACCCAGCTCTGCACAAAACAGATGATAAATATTGTCATGGTTGTTTAAAACTGAGAACACTAAATTTGATGTCTCTAGTTTTCAAACTCAAAGAAATTTCATAATTAGATAAAATAATAGGCAGAATTTGTATTAGGCCAAAAAGGTTTAAAATGTATGTTTTGCTGCCTAAAAGGTTCAATGTGTTATAACATGTATTTTGGCATCATCAAGTGATAAGATTTTATATGTAAACGCTCCCTTTAGGGAGAATTTACAGAAGCTACAGTGGCCTTCAAGGACAATAAGCTAGTTACTAAAGATGACATCATCCACCACTGCCCCAAGTCTTTCTACAATATAAGTGATGAGGTGAAGATGTATGTAGTTATTTATTCTATAGTAATTATTCTTATTCTAACAGGTGCATTTCCCCAGAACACCCACTATATATAAAAACACCCTGTAAGGCCGTTAACTTTGTCCCTTCTGTGCTACTGCAGAAACATGGCTCTGCTCCTCGCTCCTGTGTAGATATAAAATGCTCATTCTAAGGCCATAAAAGAAATAACTTATTTTCAAGAGATTATACCAATAAAAAAATACTTCTACTACTACTACTAACTATTAATTTCTTCTGTGAATTTATCATACCAAGCAAGTAAAGATTTGCTCTTTCCAACTGTTTTACAGCTACTTTGTCAAACATGGTGTACGTAACTCACCATATAATCCTTAACAAGTTTCTCTGGGTCTTCGTTCAAGTAGATGCACAATGACTTGAGGACACATGCACGTCTTGTATGAATTGTGTCGTCCTGAGGGAAAAAAGGGAACTCGTTTAGACAATATTCTTCATTGTTGGCAGCAGTTTGAAAAGGTAACTGTACAAATGTAAACTTTTATGCTTTTCATCACTCTCCCAATCATTCCTTTTCTCTCATGTTACGTGTCTGTAGCTTCCTTTCGTTGTGGTCAATTTATGATATTCTGTGTCTTTACTAACTTCTGGTACAACAGGAAACATATAAAAAAGCACTATTAAAATTACAATACGAACTTTACACATTGAAAAATACTGTGTATGGGCATCATTTAGAGGCGCTAAAATAAAAAATCAGACACCAGTCTTGCAGATACAGCTGACAGTGTATTATGGCTGCTTGATTTTGGTACAAATCATGATTATTAAAGACATTGTTTGAGAACATCATGCATTTATTTAATTTTGAACACAGGTGTTTCTTTTAACACATTGAATTTGAACTTTAAATATAGGCCTAATTGAACTGAAGAACAAGAAAACTGCAAATAAGTGAAAAATATATTCAAAAAAGAATAAAATAAATGTCAAAATAAAAAAATAAACCGTTACTAATGGTGTTGATAGGGCACGTCTTTTGCTAACAGGAATGTGAGGGCATCTGTTATTTCTTTATGTAAAAACAACTCTTTAATACAAACCTTGGAAATATCCACCATGACGTGTCTTATTCTTCTTCCAGGCGCTCCACCTTTGCACCGAAATATCTCCATCAGGCGCGGAGAGAACCGGTCGAAAGCAGCAAAGAATGTAGAAAGTAGAGGTACAGTTGATATGCGATGGAACTCCTTATCGATCTGGAAAACAATAAAGCGAACGTCACTAACCCTGTAAGAACATCACAAGTCAAGAAGAATGAGCAATGAACTATTAGTTGTTTAATCATTATCAGTAGAGAGAAAAATAACTGGTAATAATTAAACCTGAGCACACATAGGAGACGCACCTCTTTCGCATTGAACAGAGCTGGCCATCTGCTCTTGAAGTCTGCAACCAAAGGCTCTCCTGCAAGGATTTCTTGCCTCCTGTATGAGAAGGTCTTCTCCATTGTCAATGTCACAATATGGTCGTTGTTGTTCTTCTTATTTTCTGAAAGCAGTGCGACTCTTTCCTTCTCCAGACTCTCAGCGGTTTCTCCTTTTGGATGCTGAGGACAGTAATTAACTTCTGCCCTCCTGGGCTTTTTCACATTCAATGCTGCCAAACGCTTGTCTTGGTTCTTGTTCTTTAGTGAATTTATCATCACCTCAGGACAACCAAGGCCCCTCAGTTTGGACCGGAAGTTGGCCATTTTGTATTTGAGGCTAATCTTCCACCCATAACAGCCATTGAAGGATCCTTGCTCCCTCAGACAAGGATGTTTTTTCACAAGTGCTTCTGCAACGTCAGTAAGATTATTGTCAGTTGGATAGGCTTTGAATTTAAGAATTTCTTCAGACAGTCATTCCAGAATGTGAGATTTCAGCTTTGGTGGCGGGCTCAAATAAGTTCCATTCGCACTGCATTCAGCATTGGCCGTTTCAAGTTGCAGTTCAGACTCATAGTTGAAGGGAGGCACTATGAAAACACTTGGCCAACTGAACAGCCGTGCAGATGGCGATGACCCTGATGATGAAGCAGGCTCTGTATTATCCGTGTCATGAGGAATCAGTAAGGCTTTAGACTGGCAGAGGTTGAAGCATCGAGTCATCTTCTGTAGAATTTTGCAAGTAGACTGCCACAACATAGACCACCTTTAAATTTGCTTTGTCATCAATGTCAGAGATCTCTGACAGATTTATGAACTCATTTCCAAAATCAGCATCTTGATATTGAAGACGGAAATCTTGCTCTAATCCAAAACTCATCTTTATAGTCTTGTACAATTCCTCCATGGAGCCTGGTTTACCTGCCGGCAGGATTAGCTTTCTGGCATCATCGTCACCCAGGATGACCCTCAGTCTCATAGGCTGGGTCATTGTGGAGACCTGAACACACACACACACACACACAAACACACAAACAAACAAACAGGTTGAATATATCCCAATAAAAAAGAGGCACTTTTATGACAAACGGTGCCTTGTGATGTTTGTTTATTTGACAGGTACAATGCACAGGTCCTTGCGTGATGGTTACATGATTATGTTGATTGTGGGGGTAAATACTGACAAACATTATTCTTATTTTCCGTGCAAGTTAGTGTGTCTCTTCAGAGAAACCAGACGCAGGCATCCCACTGAACAGGCAGCTAACGGGTAGTCATCAAGTAGCTCCCGATGCTCAATCAGAGCCACCTCTCTCACATGTGACATGTCCAGTTGAAAAGCTCTAAAGTGCTCTCTATACCAACTGGATAACTTTCTCACAATAAAATGTATCTTGGCTTGCAAAATACAAATCTGCAGAATTTCAGCTAACTCAGGAAGACCAAATAATTGCCCATGGACAAGAATCATTCCTTTGTTGTAATTCATTCCATTGTATGAAACACAGTTGGTAATGTTGACATCAGTCTCATTTGGTAATCTTAGCCTAATAGCAGCTGCAATGTCACTTTGCAAAACATCTACTGGTACTGGTGAGACACTTGTTACCGCCAAAGGTGTCCTATGGTCAGGAGAGTGCAAATCAGAGGCAATCACAAGCTGATGTTTTCTCGCGAGTGTGAGAGGTATGTTTTTGAAACAGTTTGTATGGCGAGCAATCTGTTTGAAGACAGTATGTTTCGCCTCAAATCTCATCGTCCATGTATGGACAAGAGGGCCAAAAAGGTGAATCAGAACAACATAGTGCTCCAAAAAAGGATGTTTCGAGAGAAGCCTGTTGTTGGGAAAAAACTCTTGGTATCTCTGGCGATGTTCATCAATTTTACACTCGAGGAAAGATATTGACTCTTCAGAGTGGACAGGGGCTACAACAAGTTCCACTATGTCCTTGAGATCCAAAACAACATGCCATGTAGGTTCATCCTCTGGAACAAGTGAACCAATGATAAGAGGCAACAGTCGAAGCAGAGCCCAATTCTCGTGTGCGTTTCCACCAATGCTCTTTTTTACTGAGAAAGTCTGTGGTATTGCATGAGGCCGATTTGTTTTATCTGCCCATTTATACTCGAAGGTTTGGATCAAACTGTTCAGTTTTTCTAAACTGAAATACTTTTTAGAAATGAAAAGAGAAAGACAATGAGCTAGCTCCACAGGTATTATGCCCTCAAACAGATCATGGGCAAGGTCTGGAGGGTAGCCTGCAGTAACATGAAAATGGGAGAGATTCTTACTTAACAAACATTCATGTTTAACACCATAGCATGCACTTGCTTTTTCCAGTGCACACTTCAAATGTGCATCATGAAGTTCCTGTGTTCTAAGCTCAAAGCGATTAGCTGTTAACGACTGAATTTCGGTTTTCTTAGCTGTACAGAATCTACAGATGTATTCACCAGAAAAAATTTCTACAAAACCAGCCAGGCCATGGGCTCCCAGGTTATCAGCTATTACGCAACTCACAGTGCCTTTGATGCACTCATTCAACTGACTGATGAACACACCATGTTCCTCCAGAATTACAAGATCTTTCAAAAGTGGATCCAAACTTCTTCGAAACCAAATTTCGTCACTTTTACAAAGAACAGCTAAATAAATTGATGAGAGAGCAGAATGAGAGCCTGGCGGTAAATTGTCCAAGACCCAATATATCCCACAGAGTTTGTGCTTTTTGCGCAAGGTCCCAAGAGGATTACAAACCTCAAACTCGTCGATATAAAGTTTAATGGAAATTCTCAACTTAGCAACCGCTAGAAAGCTATTTATTTTATAATTTTCACCATCTCGAAAAGACCTGTAAACTCTCTGATCACAATGCAAAGCTTCTTTATGTTTTTTAGCTATGTGTTCATCAATCACTTTATCCAGTAATTTATTGTGACTCAGTACTTCCTGCAATAACTGTAATAATGGGACATATTGAAATGACCTCCTTTGTTTGACAGATAAAATATACTCAACAGCCTCTACAACTCTAAAATTTAGCTTGTAATATTGTTTTCTTTTATAGGATGTGGCAAGAGGTCCACACTTTTCAAAACTTTTAGTGACAGGGTTAGAGAGAGACACAGAATTGGCAAGTTCTTCAACAACTGCCTGACCAATATTGGGGTTATGGCTTTTGAAAGTTTCTGTAATTGTACGCTTTGTGACAGGTACACTAGCTGAACTTAAAAAACGAAACTCCTCCAACAATTCATCTAATCCTTTTGCTGGAATATGAAATATATGTTCTAATTTTAACAATATTGTTGCTATTTTCCGCTCAATTACTTCTGGTATATTTTCAACTCCACTATCGTTTTCTGTCACTGTCTCAGCCTCAACCTCATCAAATGACACATCAGAACAGCCAGCTACAACAGCATCAGGGGCATCCGATCCTTGGACAGGGTTCACAAACTTAACTACACTGGTTTTAAAATCTTTTAATGTGTGTGGATGATGCTTTCTCTTTTTGTGTGTGTAAAATGTACTGTAAATATTTGTCTGGAAATAGCATCCAAGAAATACACAACCAACTGTCTCACAACTGTGCAGATGTGTCCCAATATGAATAAAAAAATCTCTCTCAGTAGAGAGGTCACTACATCCACATACCTCGCATTTAAATGTTACTGAATTTAAAGCAGTCTGTGTAGGTTGAGAGGAATGAGCTTTATAGACATGGGTGTGAAGTCCAGTCCATGTCCTGAATGTGCAAGGACAATTTACATATATGCATTGATAATGTTGGCTTCTCCCATAATGATGATGTAGTTTATAATGTTTAAGTAATTTGTACCTACTACTCTCTCTTGCCACACAATGTTTGCACTGCCACATACACGTCACTGAAAGAAAGAAGAGAAGAAGAAAAAAAAAAATTAGCAAATGATAATTTATGTACATTTTAGGGGTGGGCGATATTGACAAAAGAAAATTATCTCAATATCTTAAAGGATAATTGTCAATACATTGAGTCTTTCAAAATGTGTAAACAAAAACCCTCAATACTTATAAAAGTATTGTATTTTACTAGCTTATGGCCAATTCACACCGAGTGCGATATGGAAATGCGGAAATTCCGTGTGTGATTTTTTTCCGCAAGTTCACCTTACACACCAGGTACGGTGCAAATTTTTCGGCATGCGGCGTTCCATTTTCGTGCCGCGGAAAAACCTCAGCAGCTCCTGTGAGGCGATCGTGACTATCCCTGTCTTGTCTATGGTCTGTCTGTGCCTGTGCCACACAGTAAGCACCGGCTGCTGGCCAAACAGCCGTAAGCCCCCCCCCCAACTAAAATAGCCAACTTTAGCTCAGCACTTGACTTAAATAAATCTTCCAAGCTAGAGAATTTTTCATGAGCCTGTACATTAGGAGTACTGTAGGGGTTATGTCCTTTGAAAGGCCAAACAAATTATAATGTTAATGCTTTAATATTGATGCAGGTGATGATGAGTTTGTATTAACAATGCAGTATCAAACATTGAAAACAGAAAACTGGAGGAAATCTGCTAAAAAGGAAGCTTCATACAAAATATGAACAAATATACCGGTATTTATCAGGCCTTGTACCCTCAGGAATTAAAGCAAATTCAGTTTGCAAAAATAATTTAACACTACATATAAGCTAAAACACTAATCCTCAATTTTAGATGTGTACACAATGCACATTTGGCACTGGATAATCAATATGATAAAAATATTAACTTACCATGTACTGCATGAGGTACATAAACATCTCAAGGCATGGGGACTGCTGAATTTCTGATGTATTTCTGGTTAATAAAAGAGAAACAGTTTTAAAATGTTAAAAACTCAAGCAATATTTAGGCATATGTTGTGAATAAACATTTCAGTATTTGTAGGTAGACACAGACCGTTTAACTTAATGTAGAGGTGCATATATTTAATAAAACAAAAATGCAATATTATATTAACCTAAATACAGATAGTGAATCATTTTAAGAATGGCACGACTGACCAGTGAAAATCCAAGGAAACGAGCATATTCAACATGTTCTAATGTTGTTAGGTTAGAGACAGAACTATCTAATTGATTCAATTTGCTTCTTGTTGTTACCTTAACACAACTGCTGCGACACACCCGCTGTCCTCCATCTTAACTTATTTCAGTTAATGTATTTAGCCTGCTTAACTGAAATACACGCAGCTAGAGAAGCGCGGTAATCATCAGTCACCCATGAAGCCCCAGCTGAAAATAAAAGCGAGTCCGTTGATTTGAGCTGCAGCCTTGCGCTAAAGTTTGTGCTTCCTCTGACATTAAAACAACAATGCTCACGATACAGTCACGCTAGATGAACATTAACCGCTCAAAACACATTTGACTGTGGTGGCTGTGGCTGTGGCTACGTGCTGGCACTGTGGCTACGTCTATGTACTGAAACCCCCACTCCCCTCTCCACGCACAACGTGTCCCTCTAATTGCAGAACTACTTACAAACTTTGTGATATGTTAATCTATCGCCATTTGAATAGCACATGAAGTACACAAAAAACCAATAATGAGAAATACTGTAGCTACTCAGGGTGTAAATTATAGAAACCTAGCATGGCGGAGTTGAGCTACCTAGAGCTAACTGAGAAACCATTGATACAAATGATAAACTTTTCAACTGAGAAATGTGTCACAACTATAATTTATCACTCGCCAGGTTAAATTAAAACATTTATGTTTGTATATATATGAATTACTTACATGTAAGTAGGACGTCAAACATTCAGCCGCAGCGTGTGCTCGTCAGTGTCAGTCTGCCTCTGCACTCGGTCAAGGGCTTTGAGCATGCGCAGTAGCTGAAACAGTACAACAATAGTTGTTTTGATGAACCCACATCTCATTGGATTGATGTGTGTGTTTATAATTGATCTGAATTTCATTTAAATCATGTTTTATGAACAAGAATTAATCATTTAATAGAGCGAAACACAATTAATTCATGTAAACAAATTCCTAGTTTGCTAATCAAACACATGCCCTAGTTCATTTCTTTGAGTGTACTCTTTGAACATTTCATTAATACAGTATATCAAAACAAGAATATCTGCAAAAAACAAACAAACAAAGTAACCTGATTTCACAAAACAGAAAACAGTTGTAAGTTAACCAAATCAAAACAATAAAAGGAAAAAAATAAATAAATGATAAGCTTCCATAAATGATTAATTATAGTCAGATTATAGTTATAAACTATTATATGCTTTCTATATGTTTATGTTCCATATTTCATAGAGCAACAATATTACCATATGAATATACATTATACTCCAGGCTCCCTCTATACACAATGTTATACATTTACTAATGTAGATTTACACATTCAAACAATACATAGTAGAAGAAAAAAAAAAAGATAATAATAATTAAAGAAAAAAAATATATATATATGTATAGATCATGTACATAACTAGATTATATATATATTATAGAAACAGTATGAGTACTGCTGTTGGTGTCATTATCATAATGATGTTTTATATTTTTCTATTACCCTGAATTTGAACAGTTTTTTGAATTTTCTAATTGAGCTGCACATTTTTAATTCGTTGTCTAAGTTGTTCCATAGGTTAACCCCTTTAACAGATAAGCACCTACTTTTGGTGTTAGTTCTTGCCCTTGAATTTTTTAACATACATGTTCCCCTTTGCTTAAATTTACTTTCTCAAGCCCTGTACAGTTCCTGGATGCAGTATGGAAGTGCATTATTCTGTCCCTTGTACATTATAACAGCAGTGTTGAGGTCGGCTAGATCTTGTAGTTTTAAAGTGTGTAGTTTGATAGAGGATTTGTTGATTCATAGTAATTGGTATGATTCACAATTATGATGGCTTCCTTTTGTATTATGAAAATTGGGTTTACTTTTGTTTTATATGTGTTACCCCATACTTCCACGCAGTACATAATGTATGGAAGAATGAGGGAGCAGTACAATATATAAAGTGAGTTCTGATTCAAAATATTTTTCATACAAAAAATATACAAAATAGCAATGTGATTTCCTTTTGAGTTTATTATCTATTATGATGCCCAAAAATGTATTTTCATTTACACGTTCAATTTCAACATCATTGATCTTGAGTTTTGTCTGTTTATTAATTTTTCTATTGTCAAAGATAATACATTTTGTTTTGCTTAGGTTCAATGACAGTTTATTAATGTCAAACCACTTCTTTAGAATTGTTAATTCCTTTTCCACTGCATTCAGGAGCTGCTCAATATCTTTTCCAGAGCAGTACAAACAGGTGTCGTCGGCAAACAAAACACACTTTAGTACCTTCGAAACATCACATATATCATTAATGTAAATAATAAATAGTTTTGGGCCCAGCACAGAGCCTTGTGGGACCACATACATGACTTTTTGCAAATCAGAATCAACACTGTTCATATGTACAAACTGATTTCTGTCATCTAGGTAACTTTTAAGCCATTCATGAGCAATTCCTCTTACACCATATCTTTCCATTTTCTTCAAGAGTAAACCATGGTCAATCGTGTCAAAAGCCTTCTTTAAGTCAATAAAGACCCCCCTGTGTATTCCTTGTTGTCTATTGCAGTAGATATCCCTTCCACCCTCTCCATCACTGCCATCGAGGTGGACATATTGCATCTGAAACCATACTAGTGGTTGCTCAATAGATGGTGTTTCTCTATAAAATGATCTAGTCTTTCAACTAACAATTTTGTATTTTGTAAAAGTATTTTGGAGAACTGTGAGAGCAAAGATATTGGTCTATAGTTTGTTAATTGATGCCTGTCTCCACTCTTTAAGACTTGAATGACTTTTGTTGTTTTCATTGCATTGGGGAAAATGCCTGTGAGGAATGATTGGTTGCAAATATGTGTGAATGGTGTTACTGTGCAATCTATTATGTTTTTGACTAGCATCATATCTATATTAGCAAAATTGGTGGACTTTTTGTTTTTAATTTATTTACAATATCAAGTATTTCATTTTCATTTACATTGCTGATAAAGATGGAATTGGGATTCTGTCTAATATTTTTTGTTCATCCAGTCCTTACTTATCTCTCTGCTCTACAATCTCGTTTGCTGGGTTAGGTCCAACTTTTACAAATAAATTATTGAATTCATTTGCAATTTCCTTTGTTTTATTCATGATTATATTCTCTTTAATAAAGTAATTAGGACAGTCTACTTTGCCAGTGCCCTTTTTGATTATGCTATTTAATTATTTAATGTCCCTTGGATGTTACTCCTATGCTTTTCCAGTAGCCTGTGGTAATATTCCTTCTTATTTAATCTAATAATTCTTATTAATTCATTTTTATATGTCTTATATCTATTTTCTGCATCCTTTGTTCTAAGTTTTAAGAATAGCCTGTAAAGTAAATTTTTATTTTTACAGGCATTTTCTATGTCTTTAGTAATCCATGGCTTATCATGTCTATATTTGTTATTGGTTGCAGTCTTTCTTAGGGGACAGTGTTTCTCATATAACTTAAGTACAGTGGACAGAAAGGCCTCATAGGATTGGTTTGGGTCTTCAGTTGCATAAACCTCATTTCAGGTCTGTGTGGTTAGGTCCACCTTAAGGGCAGCGATGGCTTCTGGTGATCTACATCGACTCAGCTCATAGGTGTGATTCTTTTTTTTATTTTCCATCTTAAGAAGATGTTGGAAAATTGCAAAAACAGAAAGGTGATCGCTTATGTCATTTATGAGGAGTCCAGCTGTTACTTGACTTGTTATTGTACTTGTGAATATATTATTTATCAATGTGGCTGTGTCCTTTGTTATTCTACTTGGTTTTGTAATAACAGGAAATAGACTATTGCTATACATTGTGTTGATAAAATCAATTGTGAGGGTTAAGCAGATCAATATTAAAATCATCACATATAATATGGACCTTGTTGTTTAAGTTACCAAACATAGCATCTAATTTACAATTAAATGTATGTTGACAGGATCCAGGTGTTCTATACACACAGCTAATAATTATATTTTTGGATTTTTCTACTGTAATTTCAATAGTTAGGCATTCAAGAATATTATCTATGTTTTTTGTCATGCTTTTAAGCATGGTACATCTTACAGCTATGTCAACATAAAGTGCAACTCCTCCTCCTTTTTTATTTGTCCTGTTAGATGTAAAGAGCACATATCCCTCCATTTCCACATTTTGATCTTTCTCATTATCAAGCCAAGTCTCAGATACAGCAATTATGTTAAATGTGTTAAATTGGCACAGGTATTCCTTGATTTTGTTGAAGTTTTTGGAAAGACTTCTGCTGTTGAGATGTGTAATTGAGAAAGTACTATCCATTTTTACACTTTCAAATTGTTCATCAGTGTAGAACTCGCAATTGTTGTTTATGTTATTATAAAAGTTGTTTTCAGGATCAATTTCATTACAAATGTCATGCATTTTTTGCTCCATGTAATCAAAGTTAGCAAAATTAAAATGTTCATGCTTGCTGTAAAGACTATATAATATATATATATATAAATCTGTCATTTGTTTTTTAGTACAATCCACATACACCAAATACACATATCTACACAATAGTCCCTGCAGAATTTGGTCTAGGAACTGCCTAACTTTTCTAGCTGCTCAATGCTCCGGATGCACAGAACTTTAGCCTGTTCTGGTATGCCGTTCATTTTAACAAACACTGCAGTTGGAGGTCCAAGTGGCCTGAATTTTCCCTTGCTTCTTCAAGAACTTTGCTTGTCTTGCAATGTCTGCATTGATTTTGGTGAGATGCTCATTAATCTAGACATTTGTGCCCTTCAATCTGTGGCCCTGCCTGAGCAAGTCAATTTTGTGCTTTCTGTTGGGAAAGCGGACAATGACAACATGTTTGTCTTTTTGGTTCCTTGTTGGAATAATGTGGCATGCTTCAATATTGTGTCTACTTATAGAGATGTGTTTTTCATGAAGGAAGGCTGTTACCTGAGCCTCGGTTGAATCATCATGGCCAGCGCTGTCCTCCTCTCGCACATCCCCATTCAGGGCCCGGGCATAAGAGCATGGTTTGAGCATTAGTCCAGTTATAATGACATCATTTATACACGCATACTGCTCCAAATCTGATACACGTGTTTCCAAAGAGTTTAT